TCTTGTCCTTCAGATATTCTGATCTCTGTTTTTCTTGCTAATATTATTGCCATAGAGTCCTTGACTCTTTAGAAGAGTAAAGGAATTAAGGGAGTTGCCCTGTGTTCATACATGTTACTTAACTGCTCTCCTATCAGCAGCATTCACTGTAAGTCCTGTTACTCAGTTTGCCATATCCCACAAGTCCCAATACCACATGTTGTCCTTGCCAGTACTCAGCCAGTGCCACGGCCAGCTGCCAAAATGGGAAGAGCTATAGTGTCTAACTCTGGACAGTGTAGGCTATCTAGAATATCCATCATTAGTATAGCTGCAGTAATGAGTCATAGCAGAGAAGCTTCACAGGAAAGTTCAGTAGATATGAGACTCTTCAAAAAACAAAGAGGTTTCTAAAGTGGAGAGCAGGTATTCAGAGGGAGGTGTAAGAGCATCTAGACAATAGATAGAAAAAAAAAAAGAACGTGTCATTCTATTTAAAGGATTATACATTTTTCCACATAGCACAGTGAATCTGATTTCTTACAGCAATTAATATAAGCTTCAAAGAATATGCACTTCCAGTTCTGGAATTCTGAAATGCAGTGGAAGGAAAAAACTGAAATATTTCCTACAGAAGTTGCCTTGCAGGGAATAACTGCTGACTGAAGACCTCACCATAAGGAATACCATATAGGTTTTCTTTTACAGAAAAGTGCAGTGCTGTTTCGAAGCCCTGTGCATTCACCCTGGGGAATCTGCAGAGCACTTTGTACTATAAGAAAGATATCTTGTCATTAATGACTAATGACTAGTGGGTAATCATGCAGCAGAGTCTCTTTATCTGACAGGGCTGCACACATGGATGACTTGCAGCACAATTACCCTACTGTGGTTGCTAGGTGGCAAATGTAGTGCCTAGAAAACATCTGATTCTGACAGCATCTGTAAACTGTTTTGTAGGAACAGCTTTACCACTGCATAAATTCTGTAACAAAGGATTTTCTAAACTAGAGCTATTCCAAACAAAAGCACCACAAAAATCACATTTATACTGAACTTTTGACATATACAACTGAACCCACATTTCTCAGGATAAAAATTTATGAAAACAGAATTTTCTAAAAGCTAAGTCAACAAAACAGCTAGATCACTAGAGAAAAGGCTGTTCTGATCCTTCCACAGTTTACAGGCACTCAAAACTCTGCCCTCCCAGGACAGACTTGACACTGCTGAAATAAGCATTGCAGCTAATGAAACAAGGATGTAAAATTTTACTTGCAAAATAGTCAAGCACCAATGCCAGCTTCTTGTGCACTGCTCAGCATGCAGATTTAACACCTTGGTCTTCAAACACCCCCCCTCCCTAAGGATTTGCATGTGTTGGTAGCTCTACTACTCTCCCTAGATTCACACCCTAAACTCTGTGACCCTTGCAGCTTTGTGGCCTTCTTTCAGGAAATGTGCTCCTCACATAGTGACCAGTGCATCCTCTACCACTGCAAACTTCCATTTCATATGCTCTTCATCTCTGCTACCCCTGTCTAAACTGGTCACAGAATGCTACGAACAATTAAAATGTAGCAAAAAGCATACTCTGATATTTAGGATTTGACAAGGAATAATGCAGCTACAGTAGCAGAATCAACCCAAATTATGTCCAGCTGTAGATAGTCAGACAAAGTACACCTAATCCTAATAAAGAGGAAAAAAAAAATCTTTGACACTTAAAACAATGGAAGTAAAACGAAGAAGAGAAAGTTACATAAAGTTGCAGGAATCTGAAGGAGAGTGAAGGCCTTTGAACAAACACTATCAGAACAGATTATGGCTCAGCTTGTAGTATAGTGAGTAATTTCTGGTATTCAGGAAATTAATCTGAAGATCTTAATTGCAACTCAAACAATTACTCATAATCAGACTGCTGTAATAGTCTTCCCTACTAGTAAATAAAACAGCTCCTTCAAGTATTTAATATTGCCTCTGTTAAATGTTCTGATTACTTTGGTGCAATATTACTATCCAGGGTTTCACAGATTGTGTTTACTCCCAGGAAAACAGGAGTAAACAACTATATCCAGGCAAAATTTACCAGGAAACTTGTGGAAAAAAAATTATGACCAGAGTTATCAAGAGACTAGATGAAGCCGTCTGAATTGATTTGTCAGTTTGGGCTTAGGTTTTTAGATTATTTCCATCTTCCCTTTTTATATCACTGAAACCCCTGTTTTGTCTCTAAACCACCCCTAGCTTCTCTCCTAACACCAGGTAGTTAGTCCTAAAGTGGAGTAGCAAATGTTTCATTAGATTTCTATTCTGGGTAGGTATCAGCCATGTAGTGTTTTCTGGTTTCCCCAAGAGCTGACACTTCCAGTTTGAACTGTTCACTGTAATTTTTTTTCAGAAGTGCTCTTAAAATTCAAAGCTAAGTCAGGCAAATTGGCACAAATGTTGAGATAACAAGGGATTTATTTTTCTCTTTGCTACAGTAAGGAAGGTTCAAACTAGGTTTTATCTGGAGAGATGTTTCACTGCAGTGCAATCGGTCACAGTAAATGCAATGCACTGGGGGACACTTTGATTTGTATCATTGCTCTTACACTGTTTCAAAAAGCACTTGCTGTAAAAAGTAGGACTATGGTGATCAAGTCCAATAAGTTCCTTAAGAAGTTACTAAACATTTGACTACTCAGTCTCAAAACAATCCTACTCCAATTTGAATGTCTACTTCTACATGAACATAGCTCAAATACACTGTGAAGCATATGGACCAAATTCAACTCTGTACACTGAAAAGGTAAAAAAAAAAGTGTAAACACAAATGTGCAATCTAAACAGTTTTTCTTTAGGTTTCCCCACCTAACACATCCAATACATGTCTTGAAGACAGGAAATGTGGCTCAAATAGGGGAAGCAGTAAACAAGGAGAGGACTAAAAATCTGGTAGATGTTCAAAGCCACTTTTTGTTTATTTGATCAAATTAACTTAAAATTGTAAACTTGAAAAAGAAAGCTTCAGTTCTAGTGTACATTTTGGAGTACTTACTTATCCATATCTCCAAATCAGCCAAGAAGATCTTGGATCTAACAAGATCCATACATAAACACTAAAGACTCCTTTACAGGTGGATTTTTTAGTACCCGGAAGAAAGAATTTCCTTAATAAAATTAGTTCATGTGACCAACTCTTCCAGAAAGTTGCTAAATCACTCCATTTTACATGAAAAGTTTCTTCATTAATTAAAGAAAATGAAAAACCCAACCACACACATATTGGTTAGCAATGTCATCTTTTAAGACAATTTGTATATTTTGGTCCCTGCCCCTCCGGACTATCTGCAGACTACGAAGGTTGCTAAGCCTGTGCCTATCTAATCTTCCATTTTTGCAGTCCTTCAGCTTCCTACTAAGAAGCCAGTCAGAAGCTGATTGCAGACTGTTTGTCCTAAAAAAAGAGACTGCTTTGCCAAAGGCAAAGCATATCCTGGGCCACACTACTGAAGAAAATAAGAGCATGCTAGGTTCATCCAGAGTAGGAAAAGGCTGTTACACACAGGAACACAAATATGTGGGATTTTATCCATGGATGAGAGAGGGAATGAAAAAAAACTTTTTTGCCTTTGTTTCCAGTCTTGCAACAGGGAACAGCTTTGTTGTAAATCTCTTTGTGGCAAAGTTAAATTGAAGGAAATGCTGAACCACTCTAACAAATGTGCTTTCCAAATGTATATCAAGGAATCTATTTTTCAGCATAAAAGAGTTACCTCTAGTGCCAAGAAAACACTGTTCCTGTAAGTGGAGTTTGTTACACTGCCAGATCTTTCAACTAGGAAACCATCACCTCTCCTGTCTGCTACAGATTGGGCCTGCAGCCTAATTACAGAACAACATTTGAATTTGCTAAAACCTGTCTGGTGTCAAGTTTAAAATAACATGCTTTACAATGACTATTGGCTGCTAATTAATAACCTGTAAGGATGGGGAACTGCACCCAGATCCACAGAGTAAGCCTGCGATGCTGGCACTTTCTTCAGATGTTTTTTTCTCAGAAGGCTTCACAACTGTGGCGGAGAGCTTTAGAAATAACTGCTGCACAAAGGAAATGCTTTGTACCTTGTTCATCAGCTTTCAGGTACAAAATCAGCCTCCAAAGCATGAGACAAAGATGTTCAACACAGCAAATTCATCTTCTTCCATATTTTGAAGCTGTGGAAGTGAATAGGAGATAGCTGCAGCTATCTCCTAGTGTTGCAGCAAAATAAAGATTATACTTTTCGTTGTGAATATGATATATAGCACTGTTTTCACCTTTTATCATCTATGGCGTTACATATAAAAGCTGTCTTTTCAGGGCAGAATGCAAGGCATCCAGGCAGAACCACCTCTTGTCCCAGCTTACGTTCTATGCCAAAAAAGGGCTACAGCCTTCAGAATCCTAAATTAAAGCTTACACTCAAATGGGTTTTAAACAATCAATTTTCCCTGGCCTGGATTCACAGTCTCTCATCATGAAGCACCACTTACAGCACTAATCAGAATTACAGAATGTATCTTTCAATTATGCTGTCATATAAAAACTATCTTTTGAGGATTTTCTTTTAAATAGGTGTGGTGGGTATTCCTAGCACTAATGCAGAAGTGGATTGATTCTAGTATTCAGATATACAGTGAGTCTATTCTCACACTAATCTTAAAAGTGCTTTTACATTTCATGAGTCACACCCATAATTACAAATAGCTGAGTACAAAACCCAAGAGATGCTTTCTTAAGCAGAAGACTAAGGAAAGCTGGTAGGGTTCCACAGCAGAAGAATGCAAGAAAAGCTTTGAGGGCATGTACAGCATGCTCCAGTAGAGGAAGCAAATCCTCATTTAGTATTACCCTGAGGTTTTGCAAAACTTAAAAAAATTTAAACTTTGACCTGTACAAACTCTTCATATACTTTCATTTCTTTTCATGCACAGAGCTGGATTAATAATTTCTCATGCATTTTTTTTCCAAGAGAAATAAGAAAACATAAAACCTGCTCAAGTTGCTGGAGAAGGTCAACTTGGTCCCATTTTCTCTGTTGTATGTGCTCTCCAATGACCTGCAAGCAAACATGCAAGATATTATTTAGACCTCCTCAAACAGACAGCAGCAGTTTGTCCTCTTTATCAATCCCCCTATAAACCTACAAAAGTGTTCTGTGTGGTCTCTTTCCCTGATGAACTTTCTAGAGTGCACAATGGTTACCGAACATGTTTTGCACCAAGGAGTGCTACAGAACAACAGGAAATGGAACATATTATAGGTGTAATATGCATCTGCTGCATATTCGCTGTCCTTCCAAGTGCAAATGAACGGAGCATATGGTTTATTTTACTGGCCACCATTTTGGAAGTAACACAACATATGCCCCTAATTAAAGGAACAAATATTGACAATAATTGTTCAAAATTTAAGCATAATGAATATACAAAGAATATACTTAGAGGGCACAGGATATAGCTGACAGAAGGAAACACCCAAAATAAGTACTTTTAAAATAGCCATGTTAGTAGACACAAGTGTGTGATGTGAATTTACAACAACGAAAACAATTTATTTCTAAAAAAAAAAATACAGACATATCTTAATCTGGTCATTTATTTCTCTGACAGTGGTATAGTTCCTGAAGACAAACAAAAGAATCTCTTTAATTAGTAAAAAATTAGTAAAATCAAAGCTGCTGGAAACTATGCTTGGGTCAGAATAGCTCCAGGAGAGAGCCAGATGACTGTGACAATGGCAACTACAACTGCCCCCAGAATTCTTCTATGGATAAATCCCAGTGAAATCTTATAAGCACATATAATGGTTTACTCTTGAGTGCTTGTGATATGAAAACATCAAAGCAGAAGTGTGTGCTTTAAACAATAGTATACATTTGGAAAATTGTCAAATCTGTTTATGTAAATTATGAATATTGAGGAAGAAATCTTACTGATAACGTTGTAATTATTTTCTAAGGAAGAGAAAAGTATCTCCTGCAGTAGCATGTTGCATGTTCACAGTTGTACATTACTTGTGCACAGCTAAGGAGCAGCAGTAAATAAATAAATAAGAGAAAACTCTCATTTTTTCATCCTTAGCACAGCTGAAAACCATATTACTCAATGGCCTTAAATGAGTATGCTTCAGCAGCTCCTGGTGAAGAACACAGTGGGTTCTTTGCTCCCCATGGGTGGATCAGAGATCATTACACCCTTGCCCCTGCTAAAAGCCTTAAGGGTTAACCAGGGATGGGTGAAGGTGGGAAAGTAAGAGGAGCTTCTAAGCGATTTTGAAGAATTAACAGCTCTGTACTTTCTTCACAGCAGACTAGAAATTTCCCATCCAAGTCTGCGCAGAGCAAGCAGCCCATTTACGAAGATAAGAAACTGATGTGAATGAACCTGCTTTGTTCTCTGTGCCATTTACTAAATAGGAGATGCAAAATGTCTATTAAAACTTTCTCAAGGGCAAAAAGTTTTCAAATTATACCAAAAGAGAATTCCATTCTTCTTTTAAGAGAAGATTATTGCAGCTATTACTGGATGGCTTTCACCAGTCAGCTTTGTCGTAATTGCATTCATGGTTTTTGTACAAAAGGGCATGACCCTTCTCACTGAAATGGATTGGGACACTTGGAGTGGAGACTCCATCCATGGTTACGTAAGTAAAAAAGGCATCTCTGGAGAGATCAAAGTGTCAAAATGAGATTTAGACATCTGCTCAGCTGACAGAAGGTTACTACCATGGCCAGTATTTTGCCAGACAATCCAGACCATTAGTTACCAACAGTGAAAGAAACCCAGTATCTGTGCTTATTCCTCCCCTTCTTTCAAGAAAGATTATGAGCTTTTAAGGTTTAGTGGTGTTTCACCATCTTTTCTATGGTGGTTGATGCATACAGTAGAAACTGATCCTGCACTACACTTATTAGATACAAAGCTTAAACAGTTAATCTTACATTAAACAATGACTTTTATAAAAAATATTCTTAACTGGCTGTGGTATCTCAGATATTCCATGCCACCATACATTTTTGATTAAACAAGCTGCAGGATGGTGTGCTTGGGGCAGTGTATACCATGAAACAGCTGCTCTGCTAATGCTGCAAACTGGCTAGATAGGATTTGGGAGCAGTCCAGAGTTACCTGTCATCTTAGGAAGGTCTCCTGACACACCTACATATATGAAGGGGGCTGTATAGTTCCCAGGCAAAAGGTAACCTGTGTCTGGATGGCTCAGAGTGTAAGTAGAGGAGGTGAGGCATCCCTGCAGGTACTGGGCCATATTTAGCTTTCCACTGAAAGAGAATAGAAAGAGACCATGCATGTTGTTTCATACTTACGGTGGACACTGCATCTGTGGAAGGAAATATTAGTTTTACTCAACAGAAAATTTTAGTGTTGTGTTGGTTTTGGTTAGAATAGAGAAAGTTTTCCTCATAGTAGCTACTGTAGGGCTATATTTTGGATCTTCCTTGAAAGCAGGGTTGATAATTAAAAGTGAATAACAAAATAGAGTCATTTGATTCTCTCCCCCATCCTGCAAATGGGCAGCTTGTTCACTGATTGGGGCTAAATCACCAGATAAACTGTGTTGTAAAACAAGTTTTTCTCTAAGTTATGGTGACTTCCAAACTTAATCTTCTGTCACAGTCTATTTCCTGTAAACTAATTTTGCCAATCTTCAGATGAACCTCAAATAAGTTGGAATCTTTGTTGCCAGTAACTATACCTCATCAGAGGAGTCACAATATTCTTTTTTACGCCAGTGATGACTGGTGACAAACCCCTGTATTGGGCTATTTCCCAACTGCCGCATCATGGCATGAATTACCAAATATAATGGGTATACTGGGAATGAGACTTCACTGCAGGTTTGAGGCAGACACCCTCAGGCGCTGTCTGCTCGGGGCCACGGACGGAGGGGCCCGTTAGGGCCGTCAGAGCCAACACTGTGGCGGCTCAGGCATGGCCTCCGCTAACGGCGCCCTTGTCCTTGCCGTGCGGTGAACCGAGAAGGCGCCTCTTGCGGGGTCACGGAGGTGTCCGAGGGGTTTTATCCCAGCGGGGCTGGGGAGGTGAGCGCTGGAGCTGGGTCAGGGATGTCCAACACCCTCACTCCCTGGCGGGGGCCGCTGTGCCCTCACGCGCTCGCCTGGACTCCGCGCGGGGCCGAGGGCTGAGGGCGGAGCCGGCGAGGGGAAGGAGCGCGGCCCTTCAAAGGAGCCCTTCAGTACAGCCTCGGCTTCCGCGACCCGCCAAGCAGCGTCTGGAAAACGTGTCCTGTGGAAAGTGGCTGAGGGAGCTGGGTTTGTTTAGTCCCGACGAGGCTCAGGATGGACCTCATCACTCTCTACAGCTGCCTGAAAGAAGGTGGTAGTGGGCTGGGGGCCGGTGTCCTCTGCCGTACCCACAGTGAAGGGACCAGAGGAAAAGGCTTTAAGCTGAGACGGGCTGTTCGGCTAGTCGGACAATGGAATAGGGAGGTGGTGGCGGCGACACTACCTCTGGTGATGTTTAAGAGGAAGAGGCGTCTGGATGTGGCTCTGGCTGATGTGGTTTAGAGGTTTAGGGGTGATTGTGGTGGTGCTGGGTTGACGGTTCGACTGGACGGTATTAAAGATCTCTTCCAACCTCAATGATTCCACTATTCCATGCTTCTATGATTCTCTGGCTCCGTGATTCTGCTCTGTGATTCCGTTCTCACCCCTCGCGGGGCGGGACCCACCGTGGCAGTCACGGGAAGGGAGGGAAGGGCCGCGGGGGCCCCGCCCGTCAGCTGTTGCTGCCCGGGCCCCGATTGGCGCC